TTATACTTCTGAGCACATATGTCAGCATACACTTTTGACTCTTTGATAGCACCGCGAGAGGAATTACCCTTGTACATTTTTTTCAAATACTTGAATGTATCAGCAGAGGCTTTTTCGGGGTAAAACAAGAAATCCCAATCAGGAACTCCGAGGACCCATCCAACCATCTCGCAATCAACAATAACATTGTAGTTCTCCCTAATATTAAGGGTGCGTAAAACGGGATCATACCTTGAAACAATCCAACTTATAAAGGATGGGTCTATGCTTGTAACGGACAAATGGAGGAGATTGACAAATCCCATTTCATTAACCCAACCTCTTTGATTAGGATTCAACTTCCCAACGAGTTCAACAAACCGCACTAGATTTGTTATGCAATTAGAAAACTGTAACACAATTTTTTAATCAAATAAAATTGATCAACATACACCCACCAGTATAACAACTAACTTATTTCTTTTGAAAGATCATAACTTAGTTCACAATATCATTATACATTTATATGAAACAATAGGGGTTACTATACATGACAAATAGTTTGTTTTGTACACAGTCTCATTAGTAGATTAAAGAAAGCATATGTTGTTTAATATACACTAGGAGAAATAACTTTTTCCGTTACCATCACTTTAATTATTTTACGTAATATAATTGTGCATCAGAATGTATTTAAAAGTATATTTATTTAATTTACAGTATCATTTGACCCTAACTAAGTGTTGGCAATAACTAACTCATTTCTTTGACAGTTTCATATGCAACATACTTTTACAAAATTATATTTATTTCCATAAAATAAACTGCAATAATTAGATAAAACTAGAGGTTTACAAAACCATTGAAGTTGGAATTGAATTTTGAATTAACATGCAATGTGGATACGAATTCAAACGATAAATCAAATTTATAATTGAAATGCTTCAATTCAAAAATATACCTTCGGATTTGATTTTCGGACCGCAATATGCTTTTCAGATCTTCGTACACTACCCCCCTTCAATCTCTCGTTATGTTTGATTAATATGTGGTTATGTTTGATTAATATGTGCACAGATCTATTTGACAATGCAACCCTTCTCAAGTTGATGAATCCTTCATCATCCACGACATCAAATAATTCTTTCATCGAACAATCAAACGAAGGAATATAACTTACATTATAATGTTCATACCCAAGCTTTTCAATTATGGCAGCCAATCCTCCTGGTTCAAATTCATTGTCGGAGATGTTAACAATAAGGTGTTCTCCATCTTTGTACTTCAACTTAGGATAATATACAAGCCTCCCACCATGTCAGATTGTACACCTTATTGAATTTGAACATGCCATTCTGATCTTTAAAATGCATGTACTAAAAATGGATCTAAGAAAGGAAAAAAAATGTGTAAAAGGGAAAAAAAGGGTAAAGTGGATTGGGAGGTGATGACGGTTGGAAGCCTGGTCCACATATTTCACAAAACATACCTTTAGTTTTATTTTTTGCATTTCAAACTACAATGTGTACTAGCGTTTTAAACATGTTGTACGGAGATCTCATAACGACACGTTTATCAATCAAGATTTTATTAAAAGAAGAATGATTCTTTAAAATAGAAAATGTTTTTAGGGGACTTAAAATAATTATAAACTAAATAACAGATATACGTAAAACATTGTTTCATTCACTAAATTTTATGTTATTCTGATATTTTAAAATTAGATATGATTCTGTAAAGTTAAAAATAATTAAAACCAGAAAAAAAATACAATTTATGCCATCACAGTGTTCGAACATTGGTTTGATGTATGCACAAGCAGCTTTCGAAGTTAACCATTGGACTAAGGGGTATCAGCACGTTCATTTTGTGGGAAAAAAACTATATATTACATTGTTTGTAAAACGATCCCACAACATCGTTGTCTTGGAGTCGAATCAAATTCCGGATAGTGCTCTTTTGAGTGAATTGCAAAACCTAATCTTTAACCAATTTTGCACCTAATATTTCTAATTTTGATGGAAGTCTACATGAACATTAAAATGGAAGTCTACATGTACTACAGGCTGCTGTGTGCCTTGTGGATGTTCGCAAAAAGCCTCATGAACTAAAGGCTGTTGTTGTTTGTAATGTTCATGGCGTTCGCAAATTAACCGACTACATATCCCACCGCCATTGTTAACAAATTAGTTTCACGCCATTGTTAACAATGAAATTAGTTTCACGCCATTGTTAACAAATAAGTTTCACGCCATTGTTAACGATGAAATTAGTTTCTGCCATTGTTAACAAACTCCCCTAATCTTTAACCAATTTTTGTATATTGTTCTTCATGAGTTAATTGTACCCAGATACATTAGAGGGGAAAATAGAGGAGAGAGAAAACATTTTAGGAGAGAGAAAAAAAATGAGGTAAAAAAATCTGATTTTTTTTTTGGGACTATATACTACATTAATTTGGGTAGGTGAAAGGATAGAAAGATTTGAAATTCAAAAGTTGAAAATTTAAAAAACAAGTTTGAATTTCAAATGAAATTGAAGTTGGCCCACATACAAGGAATATTCCCATTCAACTAATAGGAAACTTGTGTACAAGATTCTTTTTGTACACCATGTGTACCTTAAATTGCTCCCCTCGGAACGGTACAAACAAAATAGAAAAAGAAGAAGAAAATAGGAGATATTATAAAAGAAAGGTGGGAGATATTCCCTAAGTCGAGTTCATAAGAAAGATAGGACGATGTGTGGTGAGAAATTTAAGGCCCCGTTCACTTTACCTCATTTTTGCTGAAGTAAAATTATTTTTACTAAATTTAAATTATTTTTATTGAACTTATATTATTTTTATTGAAGTAAAATTATTTTTATTAAATTTTTTCTATTATATATATTCCTTCTTTATATTTACTGATTTTTACTAAACTGAAACTATTTTTTACTGAATATTATTTTTTTTAGGTGAAGTGAACATTACTACTAATGTTACAACAATAATAATTTACCAAAAACAATACTCAAATATATCAGATTATTATATTTAAGTATATTTAGAAATATAATTTTCAAAATGGAAGGACAATATTATTTTTAAGTTACAAATAATTAAGTTAATGAAGATGTAGCAAAAAAAAGGAAATAATTAAATGGAGGGAGAATTTTCAGCCTAGAGATGACATGTGTCACTCTAGGTTTTGTTTTTAGTATAAAGTTATTACCGATGATTGGGTTAGTGACAACTAAGGCCGTTCGAACCTGTTCACTTCAACTTAATTTTAGTTCACTTCAGCTTAGTTTTAGTTCAGTTCAGCTCAGCTCTAATCGTTTAGTTTAGTTTCGTTCAGTTCCAATCAGTTCAACTCAGCTCCTAATTTCCTTCTCTCATAAAATATTCATTTCACCTCTATTCAGTTCAATTCAATTCAGCTAGCTCCAATCACTTCATCTTAGTTCAGTAAATGTGAACAAAACTTTCATCGGTCCAAGACCAACCCGAATCAAACTAAAGACCGGAAATTTTAATTTCAAGAACCGAAAACCGGAGCGATTAAGCTATGAACAAACCCGGACCGAACTGAAAAAAATTGGTCCAAAACTCGGACCGGACCGTTTTGGACTGATTTTAGAATTTTATTTAAAAAATACTAAAAATTTAATAATACTTTGGAAAACTAAAAAAAAAAAGGAAAACTCTACTTTAGTATTTTTTTTTTTTTTTTTTGAATGTTAAGTACAAAAAAAAAACTCATACAATTAAAGTTTTCAAAGGTAATTAAGAATAATATTAACCTTTATCTAAGATTTTATGCATAAATTTAAGGAAAAAATCAATCCGGTCCAAGACCAATTTTTATGGGATTTTGGAGTGGGCTTAAGGGAAAAATGAATTTTAAGACCCAAATCTGGTCCCGTCTGATCCGGGTCATTTTTTTTGGTCCGGGTCGATTTTTGAACACCGTTAGTGAAACTATTAAAGAAGTTTCACGCAATTGGAGAAGATAGATGAAAGGATCATAAGTGGAAAAGGAGAATGGAATTACCTGAAAAGGTAGGGAATACTTTAAATTAAAAGGCTTTTGGGGACTAAATTAAAAAGGGGAAATATAAAGAAAATTAAGAATTTAGGCCCTGTTTGATTCACCTTAATTTTACTGAACTGAAATTATTTTTACTGAATTGAACTTATTTTTACTGAACTGAACTTAATTTTACTGAACTGAAATTATTTTTACTGAACTTAAATTATTTTTACTGAACTGAAATTATTTTTACTGATTTTCTATTATAATTCTTCTTTAAGAAAACTGAATTTTACTGAACTGAAATTATTTTTACTGAACTGAAATTAATTTTACTGAACTGAACTTATATTTACTTAATATTATTTTTTTAAGGTGTAAAGAACAGGGCCTTATTCATTCTCTTACCGAGAGAGAGAGAGAGAGAGTTTGGTTCAAGTAATTTAGGTACCATATATTATTCATGCATCAAATTTAAGATAAATGTTCATTTCCAAACAAAATGAAATACATGATATATCATGAAAATGGCACAACCCGACTTGAGCTCGTGAGAAGCACACCACTATGTGAGATGCACGCAAATGGGCCATGAGTCGTGCATAGACTTTATATTCGAAATTTGGCATGAGTTTGACATGAGCTTTATGGTCCTACCCACTAAATTTTGACCAATTGACTAAATATATAAAAATATCAAAGGGTCTATTGACATGATACGTGTGTTGATCGCGTATGAGCTCCTTTTATAGAAGATTGACACAAACATTATTCTACACAACGATTTCTTAACCCATTTAGAGTACAACCTGTTTGAGCACGAGATACGCTGATACGTTACAACTCGTACCTATTTTAATCATAGGCTTCATACATTAGAAAATGTTATAAATGGACGAGGTCTGTTTTGTTCAACTTAATTTTGGTTCAGTTTCAGTTAAGCTCCAATTAGTTCAGTACAACTTCTAATTTCCTTTATTTATAAACAATTCGTTTTAACTCAGTTTAATTCAATTCGGCTCAACACCAATCAGTTTAGTTCAATTGATATCAGATATTTGATGTGCCAAGCCAAACTACTTCATTGTTGCTACATGCTACCCTTGGAAACTTGGAATTGCTCTTGCCTTCACTTATACTTAACCCAGTTACCAAAAACACCCCACTAGAAGAAGAGCTAGGAACTTTCACATTTTACCATTAAAAACAAAAAACAAACCCAAAAATGAAATAAAAATTAAAAATATCATATTTCTTCCATAAAATAATAAAACTTCCAAAAAATAAAAATAAAAAAGGGTAAAGGGTAGAAAAACTCACTACCACCACCCTCCACCAATAAAACCATTTCTCCTCACACTCACAGTGTCTCTTTCTCACTTACCCTTTTTTGCTCCTCTCTTTCTCTCTCATTCATTCTTCTCCAACATTCTTTTTCTTTTGTTCAGAAATTTGCCTGGTTTAGGAGGGTTTAGTATCATCACCTAAACAATAAACCTTCTTTTTTTGTACACAATAAAAGTGAAAATAATGGGGTGTTTTAGAAATAGATTAATTTCAACATTTTTGCTAATTTTTTGTATTTTTAAGGAGATAATTGCTAATTCTGAGGTAATTAGTAATAATAATCTACCCATAATCTCATTTGATGAAGGCTATTCCCATCTATTTGGAGATGATAATCTTATGGTTGTTAGAGATGGAAAATCTGTTCTTCTTTCTCTTGATGAAAGAACAGGCATGCTACTTTAACTCTCTAGTTTTCTGGGTTTTCATTTATTTTTTTGGTAATATTGGGTAATTTTTCTAATATTTTCTGTTAAAAAATTATATGCCCAGGTTCTGGATTTGTGTCACATGACCTCTACTTACATGGGTTTTTCAGTGCTTCGATTAAATTACCTTCTGATTATACTGCTGGGATTGTCGTTGCCTTCTATGTAAGTTATTTTTTTTTAATATTATTTTTTTATTGGAAATGTTCCCCTGTTTAATTTTGTTGATTATTGAGCTGTATTCTTGCTTAAATTAATCTGCAATTTTTTGGTAGAAGTTTCTAGTAGTATAATGCTAAATGGGTTTTTTATTATTTGATGATTTTGAGCTCTGATTATGACAATTACTGTTGTAATTAGTAAATTTTCATAAATGTCGAGTCTTGGTTGATTAAATTTCATGTATGTAGTAATTTAGTTAATCATAATTACATCTTGTATCAGAAGTTACTAATCCTAGTAAATTTAAAGTTATAATCATCTTGGTCTATGAGCTGACTGTTAAGTTTTTCAGAAACAGAACATTTGTTTTACAATAATTTTCAATTTTTTCATAAATGTATATGTGATTATGCCAATGATTTCAGCAACTATCTGGTGGACTAGAAATGCATAGTAAAAGTGTTTATTTGTGGGTTTATTTTGATTTTCAGATGTCTAATGGTGATATGTATGAGAAAAATCATGATGAGATCGATTTCGAGTTCTTAGGGAACATCCGAAGCAAGGAATGGAGGGTTCAGACCAATGTGTATGGAAACGGTAGCACGAGTGTAGGTAGAGAAGAGAGATACACATTGGGGTTTGACCCTTCGGACGAATTTCATCGTTACAGCATTCTGTGGACAGAGGATCAAATAATGTAATTCCTTTTTCTCTTTGATTCTATTCTTGTTTATTGGGTGTGTTGTGTTGTGTCGTGTTCGTTTTGTGATCTATCATGTTGTTGTCCTTCACATTGTCAACTTTACTTTATTTCTTGATATTTCTTTTGTTAGTAGTTAATACAATTGCTGAAATTTGAAAACAACAAAAGCAGGATTAGTTTTAGTATGGAGTGTGTATTTAGATTACATCATATCACTATTGATAATGACTTAATTTGGAATGTCAATTACTAGCAGACAACTGTTAAGCACTTCTACTTGTTATTTTCGGCACTAAAGTTTTGATTAATCAATAGGCTAAAAAAGTTTTCTTTCTCATCAATGGAGAACTAATTCCTGAGAAGCAGAATGTGGCATTTTATTAGGTCCGATTATCTTCATGATATGGTGTAAATGGTGTGAAAAATTCTGGTCTTTGTCTCTTACAGGCCCAGGACATACTGATATTTTTATCGTGCATTCGTATGTCATGATCGTATAGGTGGAAATTCCGAGTCACGTTTGGTGGTTTCTTCCTGGACTTTAGCATAGCTTTAGATATTATTGATGTTATATCTTGTTGGCAACTTCAAATTTATCTGGTGTTTGAGGTAGTATCCCCTACCTCTTTTTTTCGAGGGGGCGCTTCTCATTTGGTTTTTTGTGGTCTATGCTGATCCCTTTTAAGATACCTCTCTGGCAATTGTTTCCTTCTGCCTCAACATGGACCTAGAGAATATTGGACCCTCATCTAATTTCATGACTTTATATGCTTTTTATTTCCATGTCATTTATATATTCCACTAAGTTCCCAATCTATTGAAAATGTACAGCTCGAAAAGCATCAAAATGATTTTATTGTTTGTGATGTTTACTATTTTGATGTTATATCATAGTTCTTCCAATCCATTGCAGATTTTATGTGGATGATGTTCCCATTAGGGAGATAAACAGGACAGCAGCAATGAAGCGTGATTTCCCTTCGAAACCTATGTCATTGTATGCTACAATATGGGATGCCTCAACTTGGGCCACCAATGGTGGGAAGTATAAAGTGGACTATAGGTATGCCCCTTATGTTGCTCAATTCTCCGACCTCGTTCTCCATGGTTGTGCCGTTGATCCAATAGAACGGTCTCGAAAATGTGATGATATTTCATTGATTGATGGCTCAATACCAAGTGGCATCACCCCTTCACAAAGGATCAAGATGGCAAACTATAGGAAGAAATATTTGACCTACTCGTATTGTTATGACAAGGCCCGGTACAAGACTCCTCCTAGCGAGTGTATTCTTGATTCTCGGGAGGCTGACCGCTTGAAGAAGTTCGACCCTGTCACATTTGGAGGAGGACGCCGCCACCATGGGAGGCGTCATCACCACCGTGGTACCACCAAAAACGCCAAGGCTTCGATTTAAGTGGATAGATTATCATATCACACACCATTGCCAGCCACAATTTCTCCTACTAGATTATGGAGTATTATTTTTGGTCCATGGATGTTGGTCTCATATCTCATCAATGTTTATTTTGGATAATATTTGTCTTTAGGGGGTCCTATCTTTGGTTCACATGAATATAGAGGAAAAAGACAAAAAATAAGGGAAAAAAAAAGTAACAGTGCGCATAAATATGTTAATGGGTTAGGTATCAAGTTTTTTATATTATAAGCGGGTTCATAATATGTTATGTAAATAATTGTTACATTGTTGTTGGATTTTGTTTGAAGATATGCCCATTCATGGCTTTTATTCCTTAATAATTTTATTATTTTCTTTTTAAATATTGTAAGGTCGGTCGTATTGTGTATTTGTGTTTTATGTCTTGTGATTTTAATAAATTTTTAGCGTCTTATGTTGATTCCTTTGGTCAATAAATACGACAATACTCTTAGATCACAGAATATTTGATTGCAACTTGCAAGTGTATGTTTTTCTGTTTCTTTTCTTCTATTTATGAGTTTGCCCTTCTTAATCTAGTGTGTGCAACGTTTTGTTATACTTGTTACTCCATGTTCATGTTGTTGTCAACTAGCTTAGTAATCGATCAATTTCCATTGTCATATCTATATAACTTTAACTCGTGTGTAGAATTTTGTTATTATTACTCTTTCCACCCTTTTCCATTGGTTCATAGGACAAAGTTCATTTTATTAATTATGCTCATAATGTTCTGGGGTTTCAAGTCGTGTTGATAAAGAGAGAGGGAGAGAGCAAAGTAGGGTTGCAAGTGGAATGTTCACCAAATAAGGCAATAAAGACAGTGGTGGATTTTGGCCAAAAACATTAGAGGAGTCAGGATTTAAATATTTAACCTCTTGCTCAAAACTAATCACTATGCTTCAATATTTTATTAGTAAATACAGGTTATTTAGTTAATTAACTAGTTAATTACTTCCTCCGTTAATGGTTAATTGCAACAAAGGGGTATTATTTTTGAGATATAAAATATTCCTTTGTTGCAATTAACCATTAACGAAGGAAGTATAATAATTTACGGGAGATGGGCCCTGAATGGCCCCGGTGGGGCAGTGGAAGGTCCCCCTTTGAATAAAACAATCTCAAAGGAACATTTCAAAGAGGAATGCTAGACAATCAAAATGAGAAGGAGGAAGTACTCAATATGTATGCCAATTGCCAAATAGTTTTTTCATTTTTATGCCGAAGACTTTAGATCATCAGACTAATTTTCTACAGACATTAATATAACTCCCCTTTGTAGCTCTTTGTGCACCAAATATACTATATACTACCTTTGTTTAATATTATTTGCAACGATTTGACATAAAATACATAGATAAAATATCTAATCATTACAAATAATATGAAATAGAGGTAGTAATTTATATTCCGCGTTAGTTAGATGATAATTGGAGGGTGTTTGAAAGGTGGGGTTGATCCTTGGTAACTTTTGTCGTGAGTTTGTCAAATCATGTTAAAACGTTTTCGGTGCAAAGTTTGAATAGTGGGATCCGAGGTAGGTTAACCAAAATTTGAATGCTTAAAAGTAAAATGGTGAATGGGGTCGACAATAGGACGTTTTATTAGTAGGGAGTGGGCCAAAGTTATCGGATTTTTAAATGAAAGAATAACATTTATGTATGATGATGATGTTGGTTTGCATGGATCGACTTATGATTAATTCTAGTGGAACATTATTTTCTTTTTGATTTCCTTTTTAGGTAATAGGTCCACTCTTTAGTCTATTTTGACATTTTTTTAGAATGGTACTACACTAAAATGTGGAATTAGTTAGGAGTTATGATGCTCTTTAAAAAGATCTAATTGGATGTTTTTAGAATACAATCATAGAGTTAATTTACCGGCATTAAATCTCATCTCTCGAATCTCGACTTAACCATTTATAAATTAACCTGCCTATTGAAACTAGGCCTAAATATCAATTCTCATCTCTCGAATCTCGAACCAATATTGCTAAACTCATACATAAAAGATCTGCGCAAATCTAGTTGCATAGCATTAAATCAATAATAGGAAATTAATCAAGCATTGATAATCAACAAAAATAAATTACCCTCTTCATATTATTTATGGATCCCCACAAACCCTAGAAAGAAAACTACTCACACATAATTAATATAAAGAGAATAATAGTATAAAATTAATAAGGAAACAAAATAATAAATCTTGTGAAAAAGTAGTTTAGAAAAAAGAAAACTAAAACTAAAAGAAACGAAACTAAAAACTACTTAAAACTAAACTAAGAGAACTTGCCTAACTCCAAGCCTATGTACTACTTCCTAATATATAGGAAAGAAACCCACAAATCCTACTCTTAGTAAAACTCCAAAAGCAGCCGTTCACCACTTCTTTGAGCCCGATAATTCATGCCCATCAGTTAAGGGATTGGGCTTTAATTAACAAAGCCCATCTGGCTTTCAAATCAGCGTGAGTGTTCAGCGCCCGATCGGGCCAGGCCTCGAATGATCGGGCCCGGTCAGCATGAGTTGGGCTTCAATGTTCCGTTCTCTTTTGTTCTTGGACTTGGTATTTTAGAGTTCATTAGCCCAAATTCATTCACTTGTTTGGTCTGTCGTGATATAATAACTTGTAAAATCTTGGACCTTCTCTCGTATCAAACCCTTAGTTGCCGGATTTAATTTCTCTAACTCGGCCTTGGGCTTTAAATATATGGTCATAAAATACGATTCGACTCTAATATTTTTGTAGTGGCTCAATAAGCTCGGAAATTGACATAAATCTGTAAATTCCTACAAAATAATACCAACTCTACAAAAACACTAGAAAACATATATTAGTAATAAAAATAGCTCCGTAGAGCTCAAATAAGCACAAATATGACCATGGGATAGGGAAAAAAATATATATAAAATAGACTCATCAAACTCTCCAAAGCCAAACCTTTGCTTGTCCCTAAGCAAAACAATGAATAAATAAATCAATACTTCACCCTAAAAATAATTTAAATCAATAAGTATAATTCAAGGCAAATCCGATAAATATGTATCAAAGTCAACCAATCAAATCCATCTAACTACCAATCTTCCCTAACAATTGTCAAATAGAGAAAATCACAAGAGCATATAGAATTCAAGACTAATGCTCACACACTCAACTCTCATTTATGTAGGTTTTCCTAATGTGATATTATTTTTATTCTTTCTAAAATCTAAATTTTTTTGGCTATGATTGAAATACAATAGTCAAGGTATTTTTATATCTGATTTTATCATTAAAAGCTTACATACTTTCCAAAGTAAAGGCAAATCAAGATTGAGATGACAATATAACTTATGTCATTGCTTATATATCTTTTAGTATATAGTTATTATTTATTAATGATTAATTGATTAATTTTTTTTTTTGCTGATTTTAAATTGGGTATTTGACATTAAAAGTTTTAATGCAATGGAGGAGGTGCCTCTATTATATATACTACCTCCATTAACGGTTATTTGCAACATTTGCCATTTTGGGTGCTATCTATTATGTGCAACAATTTTTTTCCTTCCATTTTTAGTAACTTTTTGCCAACAAAATGACCATATTACCCTTACTTAAACAACTTAGACATCTAATTAAATTACTAACATGATTTAACTCTTTACCAAATTGTAGGGAATAATTTCAAGCCTTTAAAATCCCACTAGCTTGAACCCTACTGTGATCATACACCGAATACGGTGGCGTCCAAAAGGGAAGAAGATAGAGCAAAAGAGTCGCCAACAAGTTTTTAAGGAACTTGTAAACCATCACGAGGTGAAGGTTACACCCCTTAACGATCCAAGAGATCGTCAACTCCATAAGGTCATGAACCAAATAAGGGTTCAGGGATGATGGTACAAATCCAACCTAAAAGAGATTGAACCTGCCCTAATAATAGGCCTCTACTTTATTCTGCTCGTATTCATGTGCGCTTTCTGACTAACATGCAATCAATAGGATTAACCCTAAACCTGTTTAATCTATGTTGGTTGAATATTAATGCACAAACAAATCTATTATTGGCGATCACTTGAATTATAATCAAAATTAACCCTAAACAAGATTATTAATTATCTTATTAAGCATGATTGCAAGTACAAAATTCCCTTTAAACATGCAATAAAAGGTGATCAAGCAATAAAATAAAATAATGAGCATCAAGCAACATAATCAATAATATCAATAATAATTATAATCATCATAAAATTATAATCATAATCAAAACAATAATAATCATTATCAAAATAATAATAATAATAATAATAATAATAATAATAATAATAATATTCATAATCATCATAAATTATAACAATTATAATCATTATCATGTTCATGTTAATATTAAAGCATAATAGTAGCAAGATCCTAGGCATGATACTAACAAGATTAATAACAAACCCTAGCATGTCACTAAACAATAAAAATCAAATCTTTAGCCCTAACATGATACTAACATGAATAAATATTAGGAAGAACAATAGAAAGCATCGTACTTTTAATCATACTTGATATTAAATTTACCCTAAACATGATACTAGGAATATCATAATAACAATGTAAACATGATTTCTACATCATAATATCAATAAATCAATTAAAGTACTTACTTGGATGCCTCGTACCTCTTTCTAATTACAAAATACACACGTTAGTAACTTCAAGGAAAAATAATAATCAAAGCAATTAAATTAAATAATTGAAATAGAGATTTGGGACCAAACCCTCAGAAATTAAAACCTTTCACGTCTAGGGCGAAGGCAACTTCGAATATGGCTAGGTGTATCAAGATCTTGTGAATGCGGAATTTTATATTTGAGAAAAGCCTAGTTTAGAAAAAGAGAGAGAGAATAATCAAGAAAATCTTGATGAGAGTTGGTGAATTGAAATAAGAATTGATGAAATCTGGTTATCGAAAACGAAGTTTAATACGTTATTTATAGAGAAAATCAGCCAAAAAGATAAAATTAACAAAACAGAGTATGGCGCACGCAAAACGAGGTTGGCGCCAGGAATTGGCCATTGGCGCCAGGCCTGGTTCCAGGCGCCAATGCCTGGAGTCAGGCGCCAAGCCTATTTTTAACGCATTTTTGTTTTTATCATATCTTTTGATCCGTAAGTCCAAATAAGGCATATAATATGTCGTTGGAAAGCTCTTAAAGCCTACTTTCCAACACAATTAGAATCAGATTAAAATATTTTTTAGATAAAAAGATATGGCCAAAATAGTGGAAGGGTGTCAGTTTTGGATAAAGTTTCATTTCTCATTCATATCTTTTTCGTTATAACTCGGATTTAATATTATAATATATCATTGGAAAGATAATTTAAAGATCTATCCAACCATATAAAATTTGGATAAATATTATGAGGCACAAAAATAATATCTGACTGTCTTTGAACATGTTTAAATCCGAATAGAATTAGGACTTTAAAAAAGGAAAGTTTTATAAAAAAGGAAAGTTTATATTTAAATCAAATTCCTTAATCTTATCTTTTCAAAAAAGGATTATTAAGATATTTTAGAAACTTATAGAAGATTCTAATCAATCCTAATTAGTTTAGGAATAGGATTAAACCTTTGGACCCTCCTCATGATCATTGGGTCGTAGGTAAAATCCGGTTTGGGCGCAGTTTAGTATTTTGGCCATAACTTCCTCAATATTCATCGGAATTGGGCTTATAATATATCGTTGGAAAAGTCTTTGCAAACCTCATCCAACTACACCACTATTGGACCCATATCATGGACCAACCAAACTGGATTGGCTGTTTTCTTAAAATAAAGTTTTCAAAAACAGATAGAAGAGAAAAGAAATAAACTTTCCGCAACACTAGACCTTTCCACACTTCGTTTCATTCGATTATGATTCGACGTGAAAGACACTCATCACCGGGTTTGGTTTTGGGGAGACACAAATGGGTGTCTACACTAATGAATCTGATTATTGTAATCAATTTCACCAAAAATCATACATCTTCATCAAAACCATTCATCTCCCTAACTCTTCTTCAATTGAAAAATCTCCAAAATTCAAACCCTAATTCTACAATTTTGTTCATCTTCCCCCTTCTCTCTCCTCTTGCGATTTGGGTTTGTCTGGCCGTGGGTTCGAGTTCGTGGGTCTGGTCGTGGATCCGAGCTCGTGGGTCTGGTCGTGGGTTAACGTTCGTGGGTCTGGGTTCGAGTTCGTGGGTCTGGTCGTTGATCCGAGTTCGTGGGTTTGGGTATAGGTGGTGGTCGTGGGTTTATGGGTGTTGCGTGAGTTTCGTGGGGATGGGTTTTAGATCTGGTTTGTGGGGGTGGCCTGAGTTTCGTGGGGGTGGTTCGTGTGGGGGTGGCCTGAGTTTCGTGTTGGTTAATTTGTTGGGTTTGTGGTGGTTTAGGGTGGGTTGTGGTGGTTTGCTGGGTTCGTGGGTGGTTTGTTAGGTTCGTGGTGGGGTGTTGGGGGGTTTTGGCTGGGTTCGTGGTTGGGTTTCGGTGGTTTTGGGGGTGGTTTTAGGTTCTAAGTATCGGTGGGTTGGGTGGTTCTGGTGGTTGTCGGTGGTGTTGGTGGTGGTTCTGGTTCAGGGTTTAGGTGGTTATGGGTTTTTTTTTTTTTTTTTTTTTTAAAGTAAGATTAATACTTAATCAAGTGCCCTTAGTGTTCAATAATGATGCTTTAAAAGTTTTGCCTAGGAGTCCACGCATATTCCCTTTGTTGCAGATAACTGTTAATGGAGGAAGTAAACAATATATTGGACTTTGGGCTAAATACAAACCCCAATAAGGCAATAACCTTATACAATGATCCATAGTCTACTATCCATTTAGGTGAGAGTGCCCAAATTAGTGGGCCTTATGTCCAACAAACTCCTATGAATGCAAAATTAAAGTATACTATTTATTCTTGAGCAATTTTCACCCATTTTTATAGTTATATATGTGCAATGAATTAGCATGGTGGACAAATTACCAAAGGGCTTTTCAATTATTCTGATGCATCATATACTGTATTAATCTGCATACTAGCCATTAAGTTATCGGGGACAAGCGGACCATCTACGGCCCACGTTCGGGGACAAGCGGACCATCTACGGCCCACGTCCGGGGACAAGCGGACCATCTACGGCCCACATCCGGGGACAAGCGGACCATCTACAACCCAAATTTAAGTTTATTTTTATTAATATGACATAAAAATTACATATTCAATCAAGATTTTATGTTAAAAATTATTATGCCAATAAAAGAGGTAGTATTAATCACATTCGTTTGGTTAAGGCCAGCCATGGTTGATTGCTTCGTGAGCTACGGTGGGCGGGCGAGGAGTCAGATGACTAGTTTTCATGTGACTGTTCAGACTTGAACAAGGTTTTTGCTTAACACAATTAAGTGTGATCAACTTACAAATAAAATTAATGCTTAAGACTCACCTTAATAAAATTTTCAAATCAAATAGATAATCCAAATTTCTTAGGGAAAATTCTTAAACATCTCTTCATCTCTTGCTTAATGACTGAACACCAAAAGTGTGATCAACTTACAAATACAAAAGAAATATGTTGTATGATTGGGCACCAAAAAATAACAGTCAAATGAAGAGTAGAGTTAACTTTAGAAGTATGTTGTATCTATACTTTATATATTAAAAAACGTTTCTAAATATGTTTATGTGCCACGTGGCACCCTTGCCACGTCATCATATTCATATTTGAAAAAAACCTATCATGAGATTCGAACCCACAACCTCAAAAATACACATTAAATGACTTACCATCTCATCTACATAAAATAATCATGCTTTATATTCGACTCATAAATATATATGGATTGTAGATCTGAACCTTTAAGAACTGCAGTTCTTACAAAAAAGTTATTTTGATAATAATTATGTTTTTATTTTCATTACATTATAAATTTTATACAAATAACATGTTTATATAAATAATCAATAGTTGTTCAATAAATAATTTATTCAAAGATTTAATGCAAAACTATTAAAAACAAACAAATAATGAATAAATAAATAATAAATAATGAATATATCTATTTAATTACAAGTGTTCAAAGTAACAACCCGGAGCATTGCTCGGGCCACACACTTGCTCAATTTCTATTTTTTTACACTATTCATTCGTCCTACTTTGACTAATGTTTGTGATTTACACATAAGAAAAAATATAGTCTTGTGGGTACTTGTTGGAATCGTTTTAATAAATGGATTATTAATTTTCAATTGTTAGAATTTATACTTATTGATAATTAAAGATTTTATTGATCAAAGATTAACATCGTCATTCGTGTCCAAGAAAAATGGAGCAAGTATTTAAAAACGGAGGGAGTATTAAAAGTATAATAAACAATATGGAGTGGTTACCAACAAATATGACATGATATTATTAGGAAAACATAAAAACTGAGGTAATTAACTATTCCGTATTCAAGTATTATTCATCAAAAGATTCTAAACCTTATAGCGTGACAAAAAAAAAGAGAGTCTAAATACTTCATTACAATTTTGAGTTTTGACATATTATTTTAACGTAAAAGGGAAATACTATATACACACATACAAACAATATATTTTTGAGTTATATGCAATGCATAATACAGATGTATACTTAATTATTACAGATTACATGATGTGTTCTATTCACTTGATTTTCACTAATCTGAACTAATCTGAATTTATTTTAGTTGTAATTTGAACTTGAATAACTCTTATTAGAACTTATTTTCCTGAACTTAACTTATCTGAACTTATGTTTCCTTAACTTAACTTATCTGAACTTATTAGACATGAAATAAGTGAAAATAAAGTGAACAAAACCTACCATTACTATATATGATTTCATGATTAATTACTTGTTGAGTTGTTGATTTTTTTTTTTTTTTTTTGGTATGAATTTTATTCAGCAATATCTTTCTATAACATGGACACATACACTTCGTACTATATTGTAGACGCACTGTTAATTACATTTCTAGAGTTGTACCTTGTACTCTATTGTCTCCATGGGTCATAGTAGGAAGTAAATCACCCTGTAAAAAAAAAGGAAATAAATCACAACAATTTTAATGTATGTAAATATGATCTCTTTTTTCCTATTGGGTTGGAGATTATACCTCAAAGGCTACTCATAATTTTGGAAATAAATCACTTTTAATTTAATAGCTTTCACACTATACATGCATGTCTAAGAACAGAAATACAAGTTAAACGTTACGCATTTAATTATAATTATTGTAATTATTGTCACATTTTTTTCCCTTTATAGTAGCCATAAATGGGTTACAAACTTACAAAATATATCATCTTTCATTTGCATTATTCATTCCAAGGCTATCAAACGTTCCCTAGGAAAAAATAAAAATAAAAAATGGCACCAACAAATTTCATTTTTTTCTTATACATTATTACAACATCCATCATATTCCCTAAAACAAGCTCATTTTCTTTGCCAATGATCCCCATAGACTCTAGTGAATTACTAATCGTACCTCAAAGTTTAACCACCCAACAACGCCACCAATTCCTTATGAATATATCTTTGTCACGAGCATCAACATATCGTAAAAGAAGGGGCTCGGGCTCAAGTACAAACTCACTCGAATCCACCGTATGGTGGAGGCTAAGCAATTTTTTTGTAACACAAGTCTTCTTTGGCACAAGCTCAAATCTTTTCGGCCCTTATCTTCTTATAGACAGCGGGGATGACAATACTTGGATACAATGCGACGGATGCAACCCATGTTTCGAGGTAAGTGGTGGAAACCCTAGAGTTCAAAATTCTTTAACGTATAAATTACTTAGCTCTGATGATCCGCGATGTGAACCTAAATACATTTATGATAGTTCATGTGGGTACTTGAATGAATATATGGGCGGGTCAGTGTCTACCTCTGGTCCGATGGGGACGGACACATTTTTATTCCTTAATCCGGAAACCCAAAAACCCGAATTTATTCAAGATCTAGCATTCGGGTGCGGTCTCATCAACAAGAACATCAACTTCGGGCGAAATGATGGGCCTGACAATACAATTGGAGGGTTATTTGGGCTTGCACCCGGCCCAAGTTCATTCATTACCCAACTTGATGCCCAAACTCAAGGGAAGTTTTCCTTTTGTCTCACATCTTGGGCCGAACCAGACCTTGGAAGATCTACAATGTATTTTGGTGATGCGGCCAAGCTAGAAGGACCTAATGTCCAACAAATTCCTATGAATTCAAAAGATAAATACCATATATATTTCACTGGTATAAGTGTAAACGGAAATAGACTCTCATTTGATGCTTCTATATGTGCATTAACAGATGGTGACCCTTCTAAAGGCACAGGGTTCTTCGTCGACTCGGGTGCACCACCCACAATACTACCTACAACGGTATATCAACCCCTACGTGCAGCCATGGTTGACTACTTCGCTCAATATGGTTGGCAGACGATTGGTGAACAAGCCTTTGATCTTTGCTACACGTCGACTCCTAAAGAGGGCCAAAGCTATCCATCCGTGGTCTTTCACTTTTCGAAAGGTGACCAAGGAGGGGAGGTCGATTGGACAATGGACAAGGACAACATGTTTGTTAAGCTCGATGCAATCGATGGTTTTTGTATGGTGGTTGGCCAAGTTCCTGATCCTGGACCTTGCCTCCTTGGTGCTTATCAACTAGCTAACTTTAAGCTCTCATTTGACGTCAAAAATGAGATTTTATCTTTTGCTCCTCAGAGATGCCAAGAGAATCTTTAGCTTCATTTTAAAATCAAATTTGTTATTGTTCTTGTTAATTTACCATGTTAACGTAAATTAGTTTATGCTCATGGTGTGTTTAGAGGACATAACTATATATAAAAATGTTTTGTTCAAATAAATTAATAAAGCTATTTTGCTATGTTTAGGAAATATTTTATGATGATCAATATGTTATTGAACTTTTGTGAGTTACCCTTACCGGCCTTTCGCCGGCCAAATAGACACTCATCAAAAACCGCTTTATACATAGACATTTATCAACTGCTCAATAGTACAAAGCTCCAAAAATATTTAAGACGACCCTATTACATAGACATTTATCAATTGCTCAATAGTTCTATAATCATCTACTCCTAATTTATCCCCGTGATCAATATTTACAAGGTTTATTAACTATAAATAATGATCCTCTGCATTATTAGCTGTGTACTTAAGTAGCATTATAGCAAATTAAAATCAATGCCAGAAAATATTTATAGTTTAAAACTAACAACGAATTAGTTCAGCCCTTGTCATTAAAACTGGAAAAGTTTAGAAATGGTGGTGCTAATATAACTTATCCTTGAGATATTAAACGAAACCTTGATAAGTTCGTATCAATATAAATCTCTTAAATATCCAAATTTCAGATAATTTATTAATACAAAATTAAAGATGAACTAGAAACAATTGGTAATAAGAAGTTATGTTCTGATCAACTTTGATCAGAATTTATTTGGTAAAATATGATCTGTTAGTACAAGAACAAGTATTCATAGGTAATAATCACGAGTAAGCGAATTTGTACAATGTTAAACAACGATTTTTATAGATTTTTTGTTAAGTCAGGTACATATTGGATTGAGTCTAAGCTCACTTATCCCAGGTAATTAAACACAGAACATTGTAGCCGCGATACTGAGACCATCAGACCACGAGTTCAGAAGTAGGTAGTTCTATTACTCCATTCACCTTGCTGCACCTAAATTTGGATTTCAACCTTAAATATAAAGCTTATTATGTAGGTCATGTAACAGAGTTCTTTTAGGCTTTTAGCTACTAAAACTGCATTGTGATACAACGTGCTATTATATACGACCTGTAGTTTTTGATTACTTCCAAACCACAAATGCTAACTCGAGAGCAAGCAGCCTTAAAAATGTCACTGTCAACAGTAATACAGGTTTAATCAAACACAATGTGATGCGCAGTAAGTTGTACCCGGAACCTACTCACCATTGCAGGGATAAAATGATACATAACTTATTCTATACTGGAGGGAAAAGCAGGAACAGAAACAACGGGATAAACCAAGAGCCACCCCCCCCCCCCCCTTGTAAAAAATAAGATACATTGGCCTATACGCCCTCTATAATGGCTTTGCTCTACAAAGCAGCCTCCAGTTTTGTAGCCTCGTGCCATTTGACAAAAAAAAAAGTTTCAGGTTCACCGTGCTTACATAAGAAATTACACAATTTGGTACAAAAGAATCACTTGGAAATATAATGGAAATACCTAATAAATCCGTCATTGCGTGCTCTTTGCCAGGACTGACTTCATTAGTTCCTTTGGGGCTGTATTTATAGGCAATACAAAAGTCAGCAAGGGCAGAAGAAACATATCAGATGATCAGCAGAAACATAGCAATAATACTAATCAATCAAGTGGAATCGAAGAATTCATAAAGGGTGTTGCTTTAATATGGGATTGATATTTTGGTTAACTTTGCCAGAATCGATAATATAATCTTGTCGATGGCATAAGTTAGAGAAAGTGAGAAACAAGCATATCTTGTTATGAATCTTACCTGGCAAACCAGTGAACTTTTCATACTGTCTGAAGGCTTGATTAGCAAGCATTTCTGTTCCATATACAATAACGGCTCCTGTTTCTTGAGCTTCTTTAAGGAGTCTTGTTAATTTTGGTGTATAAACCGCATCAAAAACAAGAGCATAATTCTTCAAAGCTTTCTGTCGAAGAACACATAGGAAAGAAACATAGTTCAACTTGATGGTGAATCAAAACTGAGCATGAACAAATGTAAAATGTTCACATTACTGGAGAGCAGGAGACAAAGCAATATTTATGTACAGCTATCGCAGGATTTGCAGCTTTCATAATGCTACTATATCAGGCATAACCACATATATGTCATATTTATAATGATGATTTGCCAAATGCTGCAAATTTTTAAATGGGAAAAAATAGATAAATAAAAACAAACGACCTTCATGCCTCCATGTCTACTCCAAAACTGGCTTAGTGTTGAGGTTGATGTAAGAATTTACCAGGATGGTACAGAAAAGATGTCAATATCATATCATACTCTTCCATCTGGTGATCCAGATATTACACTGATGTAGTTCCAACACCTCAAAATTCAGAACATTTATTTACTTGTAATTCACTAAATTACTTTATTTCATCTTTATGGCTAGAGATAATTTGATAAACAATTAGAAATAAGTTGATAAACAATAGGGCCAAGTAGGGAAAGGTCTCATAACAAATGAGTACCTAAGCACAACAGCCACTCAGTTTATACATGGGCACAGGACAAGCAAAGAACTATCTAATGGAAATGGAATTCCTAAGTTTATCTGCTGAGATGCACAGATCAGGGATACGGCTATAATGTGGGAAGAAAAAAGAAGTGTATGGTGGTGGTGGAGGGAGAGAGAGAGAGAGAGAGAGAGAGAGAGAGAGAGAGAGAGAGAGAGAGAGAGAGGGGGGGGGGGGGTTGTGCCTTAACGTATCACTATTTTGTCACACGTAAACACTTTTCCCAGGCATCTGATAAAAGGTGACATTTTTTTGCCAAGGTGACTAGTATTTCTGGATAATTGAGCAGTTTGTAGCATCCATATTGCGATTGTTTTACTTCCTAAATAAATCCAGATATAGTAAACAATGGCTATACGCCTATACTTAAGGATGAGATTAGACGAGGGCACCATCTAAAACAAATCAACTAAACCGTTAATAGTTGCATGATGCTCTTGATTATGATAAAAAATATAGTGGTCAAATGTCTAAAACATTACCCTTTCAATAGGGGAGCAACATCTGTTGTGATACAACAAACTACGACATTTATCACAGAAATCATTTTGTATCCCACAGAAATCAAATAATCAAGGAAAGCATAGACTAAATAATTTACTGTTGAAACAATTAAATTTCCAGCAGAGCATAGGTAGAAATTATTGCATTTAACAATACTTGAAAATAACATAAGTAATAAAAGGTATATATGCATAAGAAAAAAGAGAGGGCTGAACCTTAGAAATAGGTGTTTCGGCTATTTTTGGTTTCATTCCAACAGATGTAGTATTTACAAGAATCATCCCTTCTTCTGGAGCAAAGTCATCTAGTTCATCAAGACTGATAGCTTTTCCTCCAACGCTACTAGCTAAATCCACAGCACTTGCTGATATCAAACAACAAGAAAGCAGGAACCCCTTTAGTACAAAACCAGAGATGTCAATATAATCTAAAACAAAATACAAAAAACAAAGGTTGTGTAGTAGAGACCTCTATCAACGCGTGATATCCAAAACAATTCTTATTCACTTCAAAGTTTCCTCTGAATTTAAAATAATAAAATATATGTATAGAAAAAAAAATATATCCTTGAGTGCTCCAAAACAATCAAAAGTTAAATATGAAAAAAATATATCCAGTGACATGAAATTTATAAATTCTTTTAATTTTCAGCAAGAAAGACGATATCTAGTATCTTTAACCAAAGAATGGCATCAAAATTATATTGTTTCCTCTGCAAGTTTGAAGCCCACATACACATAAATAATATGCCTAGATTACCAGTAAACCACTGTGTTTACTGCCGTAAGAGTAATAATAAAAAAATTATGTAACTGAGTTTGTCAGCCAATGTAACGCATTAAGGAAAATACTTACCAAGTGTGCGATTAGCTATGACCACCTTAGCTCCTTTAGCTTTTCCACCGTAGGCAAGTGCCTTTCCTGCACCACCAGCTCCAATAACAACAAAAAACTTTATCTGCCAAGGGTGATCTTGGTGCAATACTTCCACCTTCTAGACTTGCAAAAGGAACAACGTATTGTTATATGATAGTGTGAGGAAAGTATTTAAAGGGATACATAAAATGTAATTGATTAACAAACCTTGTAATCCTTCTTCAATAGCTTCAATAGCTCCCACATAATCAAAATTGTAACCTGCCAATTTCCCATCGCTTGGTCTTTTAACCAAGCAATTTACGGCTTCAATTGCCTATAGAATTTGGGGAAAGTCAGTTTCAACCAATAAACCATTAATTCGTGCCTTTAAGTGACAAGCATGGAATGTAAAGACAAAAGACTACGGTTCTGTTCTCTTTACGTATTTTAACTTCAGCTTTAATAAGGTCAAATTAGTTCTGATAAAATAAGAGCTAATAAGTTCAGATTAATGTGATAAGATAAGATCTAATTATAATTCATACTCCATACTCCCTCTGTTTTGCTGAGTGTTACTCAATTATTGTAACAACGCTTACCAATGAAAAGTGAAAAATGGGGACCATGCATCAATGCATGTGGGTACTTTTGCTTTAAAGAGGAAAGAGATGGAGAGTTAGGGAGTTATTAAATAAAATTGAGCCCACAAAGTGGGGTTGTAGGTGATTAAAAAATGAATAAAAGATTGCCATGAAAGGAATAAAGTAAAAGTGGGTTGAGCTTAAAAAAACGGATGAAAACGGAAAGTGAGTGAAACTTAGGCGGAGAGAACAATGCCTACAACCCTACACCAAATCAGATTTTGAAATGATGAATCTATGTAGCCCCTCACCTATATTTAGTATATAACCTCCCAAGGATAAAAATTGTAACTTATTAGATCATAAAATAGTCAGACAATTGCACAATGATAACCAGATAGACACTAAAGAGGGAAGTCCATGAGAAGAGGGAAGTCCATGAGAAGAGGAAAGGAGAAGCTCGTCCACTCTGAAGCTCTTAAGTTTCCAAGCAACGACCATGGGAATCATAGTATGAACAGACTTTATTCACAAAATCAAAGCTAAAGAGGGTTGGTATACCTTGGCTATGGGATCAACCTCTTCAGAGCACTCAAGTGCAGCCATCTTGTGAGGTATTGTGACACTGCACAATATGCATCATTGGATGAAAAATGTAGCATAGTATGAAATAACAAAAGAACTCTGTTTATTTGTTATCTAGAAAATGTAATGATTCATTAAATATGCCATTTCTAATTGCAAAAGGATGACATAATGTCATAAGTTAATCAAATGACTAACTTCACATTGACTAGTGTGGATATCAGCCACGGCACAAAATATCACAAATGGTGTGCTGATATCTGATTTATTTGTAGAGTTCATAATCAAGTTAATTAGAAAATTTCGTAAGAATTTTTTGGGACATAGACGTCTACAAATTTGCTTTCCCAAGGGTACATGAGATGTGGGTTATGAGTTTTGGAACTTACATAAACTATGATAGTAGTCAATGAGTAATTTGAAAGGTAGTGGTACCTGTATCCAACAAAATCAGTAGACGAATAGGTCTTCAAAAAGTTAGGTAAACTGTCCACCAGCAAAGGCAAATAGATTCCATCGAAGCCAACAGACTTAAATGCTGCGTTAAACATATGCGGACTCTTACTATGGCCAACAGGATTCCCAATTACTCCAAATACTTTAGTATCAGGCCCTATACGTCTGAAATTATACAAATCCAAGAGGTCTTTTATAGTAGGTTGGCCAGGAGCTGAAATTGCTCCTTCCTCAAGGGTACCAAAAGTAAGATATCCACCAAATTTGGCACAAAGTATCCTTGACATCAATCCTTTCTCGCGCATAACAAGTCCAATCATTGGAACCTGTAAATGTAAAGGTAAAATTCAATCAAACACTCAACAGAATAATAAAATCAAATATAATGAAGGTAATTCCCAATTTTGTATAATGTTAAAAAATTATTTTTCATAATATTTTGTGATATTGTAGATGAAATTATGTGGACTATTTTAAAACATATGGTCTGGTGTACAAATCAGAAACACAGAAACCTTATAGTAAGGCACTAAGGCATGCCTATAATCGCCCCCCCCCCTCTCTTGCCTGTATGAAAATTGAACTTAGGGCATCATGTTAAAAGATGTAAGTAGGATCAGTAATCTCCTTCCTAATTAAATGATAGATATTACACAAATAATCTTCTTTTGAAACACACCTGAGAATGTGTAAGTACTTGAAGAATACGTGCACAATCTGTAATATCTGTAGCGGTTGTTGCAATCTTTACAATGTCTGCTCCAGTTGCTTGTATCCTTGATACAAGATTTCCTATCTCTTCAACTGATGGTGTGCTTTGATAGTTATGAGAGGAAACAATAATCGCGGTTCTTGTAGGCTTCTTTCCACCAAAAGAGTCAAAGAACTCATCTGCTACCTACAAGAGGAAAATGATGAGACAATTTTTCTTTAGAAAGAATTCCTTACAAGCTTGATTTTCAAAAATTCAAGTTCCATCATCTAAACACAAACAACATAGGGAAGCAAATAACCCATGTAAGTTAATGATAAACATAAATGCCATCCATGTGTAATAAAAAATCCTAAGATTCATTCTAATCAAGTCCTATTGGTAATTGGTGAGACTTGAGTCAAGAGCTAAAGGAACACGATAGCTCTTTGATAAACATTATTTTAAAATACCCTACTAATGAGTACCTCATAAGAATTATCAGCTTCTCTACCATAAATATAGTGCCATACAGGCATACAGCATGTAGAGTCAGATAAAGTGTATAATTCCCTTTGCTTGTTTTATGTAAAGATAATCACAACATTAGAGGTCCAAAAAATAAATTCATTCTAATTCTATATGTCCTTTTAGGTTTCAAATGTGTTTCATGGCTCTCAATAGGGAAATACAAATAAATAAATAAATATAAATTCATTGACCTTGTAATGTCCTTACCTTATTTTAGGTACTTACTACCTCCAATTTTTTTTTTTTCTTCTCAATCTACACACTTTGCCTATTTGCATTATTCACATACTCATCCTGACCAATGTTTGTAACTTATACGTAAAGAATACATAGTTAAGTTATATCTTGTTAAATTAGTCTCAATATATACTTTCAAAGTATCAAGTTTTTATAATTTTTTCTTATGTATAATCAATTATACTAATGGTCAAAGTTGTGAGATGGCAACTCGGGAACCATAAAGTTAAACTATGGAAAAAGAATAGTCAGAGTTTATTAGAATCAAACCATACTAAGCCACAAAGATCCAAAATTAGGTCATATCTACTTATTATTGTTTACTTCTTTTAGATTTAATAGTGCATTAGTAAAATTAGATATTTGAAAAATACACATAGAGACAAACCTATAAAGACCCCACGTGAACAAAAATATGGTTTAAGTTTGGTCAAACCAAACCACATCAGAAACAACACCTTATTTAGGTGAAAACTGAAATGATAATGGCCAAATTTGGACTACTTAATTTATGGGGCAGATGGCATCATCTATCTAAAACATTGTTGTTCATCTTTATCCTTGTATCCTAGCCAAAGATGCTCCAGTCTCTAACATTAGCTTTAAGACTAGAGCAATGAGGTATACAAAGTACTAAGTATGCAACTCTATTGTTCATATATAAACATCTTTTACGTTTTGTTGCATTCTATTACTCAAATCAGCTAAACATACCTCCCACATCAACATGTTAACAACATGAAAACTTATATAATACTAATTTAGATCTACAATAAACAAAAGACAAAGGATAGTATAACCTTAAGCTCGACATCTATATAGTCAGCTCCTAGTTCCATGGCTCTGTACAACGCACTCCTTCGCTTGCTTTCATCACCGTCATACTGACCACCTTCCCATGTAGGTCTATAAATCATATGAACACTCATAAATGTTTATGAAAATGTAGTTTATATTTTATTACTTGATTTATGAGTTAAAAATCATTTTTACATTATACTATTACTTTGTTTTCCATTCCATATTAGAAAAATAAATAAATAAAACAAAACAAACAAACATTAGAGAAAAGCACACTACACATCCAAATATCATGTAATTAAATTAGAACTAGTTACTTCACGTCGCTGAAATGAAATTGTCAAAGGCATATAGGCAGAGTAAAGGATAGCATCTGCCTCATCTAAGCATGCATCTTCACCACTCTTTTGAAATGATTTGTTGCACTCTCCATAATAATTGGCATGTCAGGTTTCATTTATGAAAATAAAGGTGGAGATCCTACATAGATTGCACATACACACCATCAAAGACTCAACCAACCATAATCAATAATCAGTATTCACCAAATGTAAATAATTATCTCTCCCTAATTCAAGAATGACATGCTTTGACAATCCAAACTTTACAAGATTGCATATTGGGTGTGACTTCCCTCCCTAAAGCTTGCACATACATATCATCAAAGACTTAACAAACAATAATCAATTATCAGTATTCGTTGAATGTAAATAATTATCCCTCTCTAGTTCAAGAATGACATTCTTTGACAATCCCAACTTTACAAGATTATTGCATATTGGGAATGCCTCCCCTCCCCAAAGCATCATCTCACTTTGTATTTCTCTACTCTGAAGCACTATATCACTGGTAGGGTATAAAAAACGCACCTAGGTGCTATGCAAATGGGGGTACATTTCCTTAATTAAGCTAGGCAAAGTGCATTTAAAGAGGTGCAATTGAGGCACACATCTTTCATTACTATACCATTTTTTTTTAATTGCCTCTGCACCAAGCCCCCTATCTCTTTCTCCTTACTGCACCTTGAACTCTTTTTACACATTGAACACTATTACACATGGGTTTAGAACATCTGGCAATGGTTCGTTGAAGTCCGGGAAAATACTCTTTGGATAACTTAAATCATCTAATCTTTGAAATTCAGTCCAAGTAGCGCTTACCACATTGGTTTTGGTTTGCATATGGACATGGAAGTTAAAAAAAAACATAGCTTATCCAAACTTCTACAATGAAGCTTTGATGATTGTAATAGACTAACATTAGGAAGGGCAATATGGGAAGTCTAGTACTTTCAGGTTAGTAGTCCATGGCCTTAATATTAATAGGGGATAGTATATACAGTAGGACATTATGTGAATTGTGAGGAAAATATGTTGAGATAATGGTAACCTCAAGTTACTAGGAGAGCGATAACCTAAAGTTATCAGGAGAGTAATAGCCTAAAGCTATTAATCTATCACTTTTGTATCAAATTCTGCCATTATTAATCGAAATTCCAAGCTTTCATCTTATTATCCATATAATATACAAACCAAAAAATCAGTCTATCACAATGATGCTAAAAATGAGCTTTAAAGCACTTAATTACATTCTATTTCCCAAAATCAAAGTTTTGTTTAACGGATTTTGGTTCCCTTCGTTTCAAGAAAATGAAATTTATCATACTTCCTTTTTTGTTACATTCTCCCCGATAACCTTTTGACCAGTGCTCTTTCTTGGATTTCATTTTGCAGGACAATCAAAGCAATCTGGAAGCACAAATAGATGCATTATTGAATATTGAAAAGCAAATGAGACTTGCTGGAGATGTTGCTGGAACTAGAAAAGCTGTGTGTGACATTCTCCAGTTATGCTTTGAAGCTAAAGCCTGGAAAACCTGGAATGATCAGATTGTTGTTCTGTCAAAGCGCCGAGGCCAGCTCAAACAGGTACACATTGGTATTTTTGATGTTATGGTGAAATCAAAATGATGAGGATCATTTTTCTAGCTGTTAGCTTAGTGTATATTATACTTTAGTGAATTTATCATAATTGAAGCGGCTGTGGTTACGTAAATATGTTAATCTATGCTTTAAATGTGCAATGCAGTGAATAAGACGGACTTAAATGGTATTAGGTCATCACCACTGTATGCCTAGCTTGGTTTGGAGTAATGACTTGTTTCTATTGTGCTATGTTGATATTCTTGGAATTTTTAAGGAAATTGAGTAATTCGTTTGGATTAAAAATCCATATTATGGTTCAGGGTTCCCCAGACAGAAATCAAACAATACAATTGTTTATTGTTTAATTTTCTTTTTTAGTTACCTTGTAAATTGTAATCTTGGAGTCATAATTCCTTCATGAAGCATTTAATCAGGAGGTTCCTTTATTTATAGGCTGTGACAGCAATGGTGCAGCAAGCCATGGGTTACATGGATCAAACATCTGATCTTGATACTCATATAGAGCTCAATAGCTCATTAAAACATTGAATAGTGTATCTGCTGGGAAGGTAACCAGATATTATTGTGTTGAGCTTGTCTTTTGTTAAGTTATGCTCTTTCATACGTTTCATGTCTTATATTCTGTTTGTTACAGATATATGTTAAAATAGAAAAGGCATGGTTGATCAAGACCCTTGCTAATGTTAAGGAAGAACAAGGGCTTATCGACGAGGCTGCTGAATTGATGCAAGAGATCGCGGTAAGTGTGGTTTACTACTCTGTTTTTTTGGTAAAAGTTGTGTAATTGATCATCATTACACATATTTTTGTGATACTGCAGGTTGAAACCTTTTGGTGCAATGGCAAAAACTGAAAAGATTGCTTTTATTCTTGAGCAAGTATGCCCCATTTCTCGAGTTTGTTGGTTCCATTATCTCTTTTCCTAGCAGTAATTGTTCACTGTTGGAGATAAATGTTTCTACTTATTTTAGTCGTGTTTAACTGTTGATGAGTTAATATTTGGAAAATTTTCTGTTTATCAGGTTCGCCTTTGCTTAGACTTTAAAAACTATGTTTGGGCTCAAATCCTTTCTAGAAAAATCAGTCCCAGAGTTATTGATATTGATCCTTCAAAAGAAAAGAAAAAACCTAAGGAAGGTGATGCCATTATAGAATAGGCCCCTGCTAATATTCCATTGTTGCCAGAATTGAAGCGCATCTATTATGAATTGATGATTAGGTGAGTTCAAATATTGTTTTTACGGGGTGCTTAGTTCTGTTCTTGCTGGATATAGAATTTTCTTCTTTTTGCATAAATTTTTTTCCTTGGGATTAAAATTATAAACTAGTTTCATTTCTAATTAAGTAGATTTTGCCAGGTATCGTGACTTTTTTTTTTGTATTTTGTTTTGTTTTAGATATTGCAAAGTCAATATAATGTAGTTTTTTTCTTGAAATTTTGAGCTTGGAAAATTTCTGCACGTACCCATATTTCTTTTGTTGATTGTATGTTCTCAAATCGAGGGAGCCCCAATTCATCTTCATGATGAACAAAAAACGTTTATCTAGTGGCAATTCCGTAAATAAATTAATATAAAATCCTAGTCATCATGGCGTTTCTGTAAATAAATCAACATTACTAGGGTCCACATTTGACAAAAGTTTTTGATTTATTTACAAAAATGCCACTAGATAAACGTTTTTCAGTTTATCATGAAGATTACTCTTAGAGAGATTAAGGAGGTAGAGAGAAAAGACTAATGTATTGTAGGCAAAGTAAGTATAAACTTAAAGGGGTAAAATTTATGAGGGAAACTTTCTAGGCTAAAATTCTCTAATTCAGTTAGTTTGGTGGACAACCATAGATTACTTTCATCCCCTCTGTTCTCATTCTATCACTGCTCACCACATTAGCATCGTAACTTTACCAACCGATTCCAAGTCCAGTTACTTATTTTTTTTCTCTCTATGTTCCTCTACATCTCCTCGACCATTATCCTTTCTGCAATCCAAATTCACTTGCATGATCTCCAACTTTCTTACACCCTTAGACATCTTAAAGAAATAAAAGTTTAGATAGAGCTTGCATCCTTTGGAGACTGTTCTAGAATCTCGTCGCCCGTGACAGCACTTTTGGTGTCAAAAGTGTTGAAAACTATTGAATTGAATTCTTATATTGTAATGTGTATACTGAAATATGCAACCCATTAATTCACAATGCACAATAGTTCCAATATACAACAATCTAATCGTCAGAACAAAATTCTCACTACCCAAATCTTAAAACATCATATATATATATAATTCATGCTTCATGGATCAACCCAACCAACTAAAACAGAATCACACAATGCCCAAATTCATACTTTAAATCCCAAAAGTCAAGCTAAGTTTTCCAAAAATTCAATCAACAGACAAAATTAAAACTGCAAAAATAAAGATTACCTGAAAGTGATCAAAGTAGGCAAAGAACTGTTTTGAATCAAAAGCTGAAGATGATGATCTGGGTTGAAATTCTTCAAAAAATCTAATCGAAGCTCAACCAAATCAGCACCTTGTTCCTTAGCTTTGTTAACTTGAACCAACATTTGATCCGGGGTATCATTCATAATGGGTACACATATCAATGTCGGATTTCTTCCAATGCATTCCCCCATTTGAAGATTCAAGATTGCTAACTGAAACCCAGAAACACAATTATCGGTCCAATAACTCAATAATCTACCTTAGAAGAACCCTTAATTGAATATACTGACAATAGAATAAACGATTAACAATTACATTATGAAATTGATATTCGGTGATTTAAAAAGAAAACAACTTTACCTCAGAAGCTGCTTCAATGGAGGAGAGAGGAAGAGGGGAAGCACAAATTTGAAAAAATGGGAAATCTTTTTGGATTATCAAGTTTTTAGTGTAAGAGGTTAGGTGAAGGTGATTGAACTAGGGAGGGTAGTGGATGTGTTTGGTGAATTGGTGGGGAGGACGGAGTACTCTTGGAGATTTTTTTTTTTTTTTTTTTTTTTTTTAATTTTTTTTTATTTTTTTTTTAATGAAAATAAATAATCTCATCTTTGTGCAAATTAAAAAATAAATAAATTCACCTTTGTATAAATTGTACGTCATCCTTTTTAATGAATCTTGATTTGTTGGTGACCGAGTTTAGTAGGTTGTATGTCATGTGTCAAATCTTAATTGGTGCAATACCAAAAAAAAAAAAAAAAAAAACCTCAAGCCGAAAAACTCACTACTTTTTTTTCGGGTTTGGACACGATGTATCATGTTCAAAGCCTAATTTTGGAGATTGTCTACTCGTTTAGCTAATTGAGACTCATTAGAGGTTTTATCAAATAAAAAAAATAAAAAAAATTAATTGGAGTGTTTGGTAAATAGCCTTTTGGGTTTTAAAAGTTCTTTATTAAAAAATTTAAAATAATAAAAGTTTTTTAAATTAGCTTATCATTAACTATTTTTACTAAAATAACTTATTAAACATTTAACTCTTTTACGTATTACATACACCAAAATGACTAACAACTATTTAATAAACAACTAGTGTGTAGTACAAGTGATGATCCGGCCTCCGGGTCATTACTATAAATATATAAATAAATACCCCAATCAAAGTTAGATATATAATTAAAAGCAATAAATATAAAAGTATAATTAAAATTTGGCCAACATGGTTAGACTTTCAACTTAATTATTGTTGGTCATGAGTTCAAACACTATGTAGATTATTTTTGTCTATAGTCATGTGAAATTTGATTAGAGATTTTTTTTAATTTTTATTTTTTCTGACACGGGTTAGAGATATTAATATCAAATATTAACATTTAATTTTTCTAAATCTTGATTAAAGATATCAATAGTCGAAATTATGCATTCACATACATAAAAGTTGGTTTGTAACAAATAGAATGAAAGCAAGAGAAGTATTGTACGTACATGGTAAAAGATTAGCGTGTTAAAGTTTTAAATTTAGTACCCAACTCTTCAAATCGAGCATTGTTATTTTTGCAGTATAAACTATACAGTGATATAAATACTAAGTATATTTTCTTAGATAAATTGGGTCACACCCTTTAGAGAAGTCGTACCTGATTCCCTCCCTACAACTTACATACTCTTTAAAAAATCCACACTAATGTAGATGATAATTAATCTCTTCTATCTATTAAGCTTAAGTTGCATACTATATATGCAACGATAACATTATTACAAATTACGTACATACAAAATAATACTCGATTTTACAAATTTCTCAAAATTAGAATTCAAACATAGCTCATATCAATCCTTATTATTATTTGTTTCTTGCCAAGACTTCTCTCATAAGTTCCTTTGGGGCTGTGTAATCAAGCGAAACAAAACGTCATGAGAAAACACACAAAAAGGAAAGTAAGAAGTGTTAAATTGTAGCAAGAGGTTGCATGTATATATAATCGAACATATATCGCACATTTTGTAATAATGTTATCGTTGCATATATATAGTTATTGTATGAAAGCTTGATTAATGAACATTTCTGTTCCATAAACAATAGTAGCTCCTGAATTTTGAGCTTCTCTCAATAGTTTGGTTTGTTTTGGGGTATAAACTGCATCGAATACAAGGGAGTAATACTTTAGAGCTTTCTGCAAAAGAAACACAAATTATATTCACATTAGTATTATGGAGTATAATGAATATAAAGTTAGTGCAAACTAATGCAGATTTAAATGCATGTATTCCTAATCAATGTTGTTGAACTGAATGAACAAAACCCTTATAAAAAAAGCAAGTGCATGTATATCTATTTTACTATAATGAATACTCTTGAGAACCAAAGGAAAATAATACTCCATTCGTTATGTATTACTCGCAATAAACATAAAGATTGCGTACTCCTAGGTAAAAGATGGTAAGTTTAATTAATGAAAATAAGGGCCTGTGTTTAGTATTAATCCAACCCCCCCCCCCCCTCCCAAAAAAAAAAAAAAAATCAAACACAACCACCTAGCAGGCTAGCACCACGAAACCAACACCACCTAGTACCATACCACCACCACCTAGTTGCACCACCACTGCCACTTAGTAGCACCACACTCAAACCCAAAAAATTCGAACCACCAATACCACCATCTAGAACCACGAAACCACCCACCACCACCACGAAACCATCCAACACCACCACCTAGCTCAACCCAAAACTCGAACTTGAACCCTAAACACAAAATCCACAACCGACGAACCCTAAACTCAAAATTCACAACTCGAAATCTAAATCCAAAATCCACAACCGACGAACCCTAAACCCAAAATCCACAACCCAAAACTCAAACTCGAACCCACAACCCAAAAATCCCGCCTAGCACCACAAACTAATGCCTTTTCTATCATCTATTAAAGCTTTAATTGGTCAAATTTAATCACCAAAACTCTAGATCTAGAGTTTTCATGCATGGTTAAATTTGACCATGCATAAAACCTTCAAATATGTGCTTCACCGGCAATGACGAAACACCAAGAAGAAGAAGAGAGAGAAAACAGAGGCGGCACAACAAAAGGGACGGCGGTAGTGACTTCTAGCGATGGTGGTGGTCTCCATAGAATGTTGCGGTCGAATCGAGGGGAGATGAGCAAATAGGAAAAATTTATGGGTTGAAGAACATAGAATGGAGATTGGTGGTGGTAGTGGTGTTTGCCAATGAAGATGAGAATGAATTTAGATGAAAGGGGAATAATTTTAGTGGAAATAATTAAGTTAATCAGTGTTAGGGTTTAAGTTAATAAGTTAAAATCAGTAGTTTAATTAGAGTGTTTAAAATAAAAAGTAAGGTAATTTTGTAAAATCAAACATAAAAACTTACTATAAAAGTTTAAAAGTTTTTCTCAAAAAAAAAAAAAAAAGTTTAAAAGTTTGTTGCGAGTACTATGTAACGGTCATTTTTAGTAATTGTTGTGAATAATATGTAAAGAGGGAGTAAGAGAATCATATCCTTAAAATGCTTAATCCATCTATGACGACATCAAGGCCATCAATACTAAATTCTTACCACTAGACCCATCATGCATGTTTCAAATTTCTCCGTATATTATACTTCCTCCATTTACTATATAATGTCCATTAGCCATTTTTAATCAAAAACGTTGAACATTATCAACTTTTTTGATTACAGGGCAATATTGTTGAAGTATATATATCATACCAAATAACAAGTGTAAGTGTCACACATTAATAAAATTTGAGATAGTTAAACATTTTTTTAAGGCCAAGGGGCTAAGCCTCCTATTATCATATGGTTTTGGGATGGAACTTTATTTGAACTTGTGAAGTGGACTCTCTCTCTCGGTTTGCGGGTGCGGCCAGACCCGTATTTGATATAGTTTGAAAGCCAGACCTGGTTTTGGGATGAAACCTACCTCCTTTATTAGACTTGTGAAGTGCATTCTCTCTCTTAATTTGCGGGACCCGTATTCGACAAATATAGTTTGGTAAATTTCACTTTCATGAAATACTTTGATAATTAAAAAAAAAAAAATTAAGAGAATAAGAATACTATCATCACAAGTAAGATCATTGACGATTAAGAGTCAAATATACTACGGTATCTTATTTATCAGGTATGAAGGTATTAATAAGAAATATGGTTACCTTAGAAATAACAATCTTATCAATATTTGGTTGCATTCCAACAGGTGTAGCATTTGCCAAAACCATGCCCTCTTCCGGAGCAAAACCATCTAATTCTATAAGTTTGATAACTTTTCCACCAACTTTACTTGCTAAATCCACAGCTTTTTCTGATATTTACACCAAGATATAAACATTAAACAATAATCTTTTAGCACGACCAAGAGTTTATTCTAATAGGTAGTTAGAAGAAATATAATACTTCCTCCGTTACGAATTACTTGCAACAAAAGGGTATTATTTGTGAGATATAAAATATTTTTTTGTTGTGAGTAATATGAAACAAGGGAGTATATGAGTTGAATAAACAATTGTATCAAACATATACTTCATGAATTTACTTAGTAATTGTTTTTCGTGTTTAAAGACACTAAATAAATGCCAATAAATGATTTAAAAAACTAATTCCTAACTAAATAAATCAATTAATAACAAATAATTAAATATTCCATAATATCAAACAAGCTAAGTAAACCAATCACCGACTCATTCTAAAATGCCAATGTGTTTTCAAGAAAACTACCTATTATGCAATCAGTTACGACTACTCTTGCGCCTTTAGACATTCCTCCATAGGCGAGTGCCTTTCCCGCACCTCCAGCTCCAACGACAACCATGACTTTATCGACCATTGATGATTTCACCACTGAGCTTCCATTACTTATGCCTAAGACATACAAATTTCAAATAATACACTTCATGACATTGTACAACAGATAATCACTTTATACATATCTATAACATATATCATTTTAATTAACAA